GCTGATCCTACCTCTGTGGCATGGTGGTGTAGCCACAGCACTCAGGAAGGAGAGGTAAACCCAACCTTCAGTTGGGTAATCTGAAGAGCACACCAGCCCCTCTATAGGTCAAGCCAATGTGATGACATCTTGAGGGATGTTTGTGTGTTTCCTTGGAGAGAAGATGGAGGTTTGCTTGTCGTTAATTAAAAAGCAAGAAAATTTTAAAGGCTGTTTGACATAGTCACAGCAAGATTTTCCATTTCATCTCCCCAGATGCTTCCTCTTATATCAACTGGGTACAGAAATGACTTATTTTCTCTTTCACATATACTTCTATTCAGTAGGCCAGTTGGGAGCTTTTAAACAGCTGCCCTGTCCCATGGAGAGGTGGCTTGCCTTGTGGCAAAGGGATAAAGTGGTTCTTGGTTGACTAACATAGAAAATGCTTTGGGGTTCTTTTAGAATTGTTTAGAAATGTGAAACTGCTCTTATTCACAGCAGCCTGGGAGAGAGATGGCAGATGTTGGTTCCTCAGTTGTTGTTTTGTTTTTTGTTTTTTTTTTTTTTTCCTGCTATTGAGTGAAACTCCCCCATCTGCCTTGTCCAGGGCTGTTGCAACAAATCCTCTGCTGAGCTGAACAGAGCAAGCTTCACCACTTTGACTTGGAACCATTTTCTGAGGGGTCAGTGGGGTCAGCAACTAGCAAATTAACTTTATCTGTGTATCCTGGCTGGCTCTTTTCCAGCGGCCTTGGAAAGGTAACACTGCAGTATTATTTCCTGTTGTTGAAATTGCCCTATTCTGCTCCTTACAGAGGTGAAGCATCCTTTGCAAGGTCAGTGTTACCTCCACATGTCACCTTTGGGGGTGCTAGCAGCTGGACAGCTCGCAGCCAGTGCGGGAGCTCCCATTCTGGTTTTGGTGCTCTCTCCGCCTTTGTTCCCTCTTCCCCTTCCACCTACCTCTCCCACTTTCCTTTCTCACCCCTCCTCTGTCTGAGCTGGGGAGGGTTTTTCCTCCCGTGCTCACAGCCCTGCTGTTTCCCCGAAGGCTGGCTGCCCTCTTTAGCATGCAGAGCCTCATCTCCTCCAGGTTACGCAGAGGTGCCGCAAAAATAGAAATGAGAGACAAACGCCCCATTGAAGCAGCTGGTGAGCCCTGGCTCCGTTCCCTGCTCCCTCCCATCTACAGTCGCAGGGCTTTATTCGTTTGTGTTTCTTTATTCCTATCACTTGATATGCCTTTCAGAATACAAAACTGGGAGACTGATGGCTGATAGAAAATTGTCTAATCATGCTCCCCATCCTAGGAAGAAAATGGCTAGCCACCAATGTCCTGGGCATTAGATTTCTTCTCTCAGCTGTTCTCCCCTTCCTCAGCTCAGCTTGTGCTTTGATTCTTTCTTTGCCTTGGAGTTGACAGCTGCCTTGAGCTCCTTTATGAGATGCTTGGAAGAGAGGGGGAAGGTGGCAAATCTTGGGTCTGCTGTTTGGTACCCCAAGCCTTTGAGTTTTTTCTGCTGGTGCAAAAGGTATGAAGTGTCAAGGTGCTGTCTGGAGAGGTACTGATTTGTATGCTGGTGCAATGGTGCTGTTAGCCTGTGATATTTGGGCTGGTGCTGGCAGAGAGGGTTCCCCCAAGCCAGCCTCTGCAACCTGTGCCTGTGGATCAGGCCCCAAGGTGTTGCCTTGCTCCAGATCCGCGCCCCAGGAGAAACCTGTCTTGCTCAGGCTGTATCTATTATTGACTCATTCTTAGGGATGAGGTGGTATAGTTTTATCTTGGGCAGAGCATCCCAGTAAACAAGATAATGCAGCTTAGGGGGTTTTAACTGGGTAAACACTTCAGAGTTAAATGAGGGTAAACAAACTCCCAGGATCTGAGCTTCCTTCATGGATGGGATTAACTCTATGGGTGCCCAGGTTCACCTGCTGCAAGATGCCTGTTGCAGAGGGGTGGGCTGTGGCTGTGGCTGGGCTCTGGAGGCAGCCCAAAGGGAGTGTAGCAGATCGGAACAGGGAGGCTTGAGCTGTCCTTTGGAGCTCGTGCAGGGCTACATTTTGAGGCAGGGAGACCTGGGTGTGTATTGTGATGTGTTGACTTTCCAGCCACGTTTCTGCTAATGGGAGTTGGGGGAAACTGAGGCATTGGAGTGGATGAAGAGCTGATGTAGGATCCAGGCAGTCAGTTGCAGTCCCAACTACACCAAATTTTCCATGCGCCCTTGGACTTACCGTGGTCTCTCCCCATCCTTCTGCTCCCCTTTTCTGGATAACTTTGAGAATAATGTTCCCTTTCTCCCCCTCACTGCTCTCTGTCACGTTTGCGTAAGCTGTAAGATCCTCAAGACAAGTGCTCACTTCACTGAGCTGCACAGGGCTCAGCAGTGCTCTCCGTTAGTGATGCAGGTGTTTTGTGTCAGCCTGGGGAAGCTCAGGCTAGGCACCATCACGTTGGAGCCTGGTGAGCACCACTGAATTTGGCACTGGGGCTGGCCTGGCCAGGTCCCTCTGCATCTGTGCTCGCACACAAGAGACGTGCAAACTCTCATTTCCACCTGTGGACTTCACTGCGCGTGCAAAACTTGCGGGGAGCCGGCCCATCCCCAGGGATGCCCAGAGGCACTTTCGTTGGCTCCCTGATGCTGCAGTAGCTTCCTCCCCCTTCGATAATCTGCCTCTGTTGCCGTTGCTGCGCTGGCCTCAGCCGATCTTGCCTTGGATCAATAGAACAAAATAAATGGGATGATTGAGAAGTGCTGAAGCCTAGCCCAAGTGTATATGGGAAAGAGTAACCAATATTGGATTTTGCTCAGTTCAGAGAATAGTGGAGGAAGGTGGAGAGGGTTGGAGCAGGCAGAAGGCTTGAGAAATGCATTTCTGGATTCCAGCGTTCCCAGGGCAGGTTTGGTAATCAGCCTGTCAAGTGAGCAGCAACTCCCAAACTTTTTGTGCTAAGAAGCCAGTGTTTTCAGTGAACACACCAGGGCCAACTTACCTGCCATTGCCCCATAGCTCATCCTGGCACTTGCCCTTATTTGAATTTGTCCTTCTGGGACATAGAGTCATAGGATATAGTGGTGAGAAGGAACCTCAGGAGGCTGGCTAGTCTGTGCCCTTGCCTGAAGGCAGTTCAGCTCTGCTTAAATCATTTCAGGCCACATGTATCCAGAGCTGCATGCAGCATCCAGGTGATGTCTCAGCAGTGCTTTGTAAAATCTATTTCTAATACTTCAGGACCGTGCAAACATTTTTACATCTGCATTCCAGTGATATCTCAGAGCTGTTTCTAATACAGGAGTTTCTCCTCTTAAGACATTTCTAATGGGTGGTTTTCTGTCTTGTATCAGAAATGTTCAGTGCTAGTTCTCAAGGTTGTGACTTACCAGTTTGTACTATTTATTTTCATAATATTTCTGATATTTCCATTCTCAAGATCACCTAGCTGTACCTACAGTCTTTCTGTGCAGTGAGGATGTCTCCTCTCTTTGTGTCCTTGGCTAATTTCATTATCATGTTCCTGATTTTTGTTCCAAGGTCACTTAGGAAAATGTTAAAGAACAGCAGATCCAAGGGCAGACCTTGAGGAATTCCACTAATAGCCTCCATCCAGCACAAGCCTCTGTCACTTTTCATACACCCAATGCCTTACAGTTGCCTTATAGTTTTCCTGCTAATCGTTGTCTTTTCTTGCCTCTTGTAATTCTGCATGAGGCACTGTATTGGATATTTTACTGAAGTCCAGATGGATTAGATTGGCTGCATTTCTCTTGCCTAGAAAATCAGTTATCAAAGAAAAATACCAAATTAGTCTTAATTTCAGCTTATTCAATTAGTTCAGTTCAGTGACGAGTTCATTAAGAATTAAGAAACTGAGTATGAGCTGAGAAAGCAGGAAAACTTGTCCTTTTTTTCTTCTAATCTATGAATAAAAATCAGCTGTGAGAGGATGAGATCTTCTGGTTTTAATGTGCTGAAGAACAAAGGACTAGGAAGCAATTGGTTCAGTTCACCCAAATTAGTTACTTTGCTTGCTTAACAAAACTGTTTTAAATGTAAAACATGTTTTGGTAATTACATTTTTTCCTTATGTCTCCGTATTTCTCATGTTATTTATCGATTGAATAAAGCCAAGTTCCAGGTGCTGTTTCCTTGCATTTTGATTGAAGTTCAATATACATGTGAATGTACCTTGACACAAATCGCAATTAAAGTCTCATCTAGGAATCAAGAAGTGTCAGTCAAACCTTCTAATAGATAAAATGGAAATAACAAGGGTATAATTGTTGAAAGAAAAGTATAAAATGCAACCGGCCTCCCTGCTTAGTGTTAGGTAGATGTTTGCTGTTGGTACATTTTAATTCTTACCTGTGGCAGTCAGCCCTTCCCTATGAAAACAAAAAATGTGAATGCAAAATGAAGTTCAAATCAATGACTTAAATCAGCAAGCTGAAAATCTATTTTTAAAACATGATTAATATTGGAGATATAAATAATTTTGGCTTAAATTGGTGATATAAATAATTTTGGCTTAAATTGGTCCCCCTGCATATAATATAGCTGCAGATCAGGAGCACTGGGGTGAAATCTTCCCTGGGTGACAGTCTGATAGGAAACTGTAATTGACTTCAGCAGGCCAGGATTTCATGGCTTAAGTATAAGATGTTCCACCTCCTCTCCAGGATGGGTGATTAACAAGGCACCCTGTCCTTTCAGAGAGGCAAAAAACCTCAGAGAGGGTGAACCATCCCTGCCTGGTTGAAGAGAGGTGCCTTAGGCTGGATGACTGCTTGCCACTGATGACTCCTGGATGTGAATGCTCCTCTGCATGGTTGTGGATGTTTCCCAAAATACCCTCATTTTCCTCATCAGCTGAGAGCACAGCCTGAGAGAGGGGCAGGCCACCCCAAAGGCTGGTGTGTGCAGCAGGTTGGCCTGGCAGGAGCCAGCTGCAAGGAGAGGACAAGCCCAGTGGGTGTCAGCCCTATCTCTGATTTGGGTTTACTGTCATTATACAGGGACCTTGTGCCTCTGCCTTGCCTCCTCCTCAGAGCCAACTGCTGATGGCCTCACATCAACTTCTCTGCTGGAGTTTGCCATGATGTCCCACCTGGAGGCTGTGAATTCCCATGAGCAAGCCAGCCCAGAGGCTGCAGAGCCTGATCTTGCCCCTGGCTCTCTGCACGCTGCTCCAGGATCGGGCTTTGCCAGCGAGGAGAATGAGGAGTCCAAGATCTTACAGCCCCCGCAGTACTTCTGGGAAGATGGGGGAGAGCTCAACGACTCCAGCCTGGACTTGGGACCAGCAACAGGTAGGTTGTTTTTACCCCATTCTTCCTCCTCACTCTGCAGGGACTCTGGGGAAGTGGAAGGATGCAGGGATCTGTTTTCCTGCTTTGACACAACTGTCACTAAGAGGGCTTGAGATTAAACGTCAGCTCTATTTTCTCACCTCAGTGCTTGATGTGTCCCCAGCGAACCCTGAGCAAGTACAGGCTTTAGAAACCAAGTTACAGCTGAGCCTTTGTTTCTGAGCTGTTAAGAGCTGGGAAGAGTATTGTCTCCACCTAGTTTCCCATTACCTTGTGCCCTTCTTTCTGTCTCCTTCCTCCCTTTATGCTCACTTTTCTGTTCCTTCTTTCTGTTGCTGTCAGTTAAGCACAACCTAAAGGTCTCAAGACCTCAGCTCAGGGATCAAGGCCATTTTGGGGTTTGAGTCAAAGCTGGGTTCCCTGGGCCAAGTTCTGGGTTCCTCATTCTGAATGCAGTGGAGATTTGGTCCAAGAGAAGACAGCAGGTTTTTTCCCGTGGGCAGTTGTCCTGTTGCCTACCCTGTCTTGCCTTCTTTCTGGGGAGTCATGGCCAAAACGAGTTTCATTAGCGTTTGAGCTTGTTGCCTTCTGTGGAGTGTTTTTTGAGATCATGGAGCCCCTCATTGGCTTTGAGATGCTGTCAGGGAGAGAGATGGGAGGAAGGAGGAGGAGCACTGAAGGGTTTCCAGTAGCTTAGGAGATTATTTCACATGTTCCTGCTCTTAGGTGTCATGTGGGGCATGTATTAAGTGTTACCCAGGGGCCAGGCTTCAGCCTTGTCCCTCCTCCCTTATCCGATATCGCTACCTTCCTCTCAGCAGGTCTGACTGAGGTCTGCAATTAGAAAACACAAGTCTTGTTTTATCTTTACTTCTATTTCTGTGATCTTAAAAAAGACCTGTGCCCACTGAGGGCTGCCGCAGTGCTGTGGCTCAGGCTGCCCACTGGGGCACAGTGCACGTGATGCGGGACAAGGGGCCAACCCAGTCGAGGTCTCCAGAGCCCTTTGCTCACCAGCATTGCTGCTAAACTCATCTGGCTGTGCTCTTGTTGCCCTGTGGCTCGTGCAGGCCTGGCCGTGGGGAAGCTGTGCAGATGCTGCCTCCGCAGCCATGCCGGGGGTGGGTGGTGCGTGTTCCTACCAGCGCATCCTTGGGACGTGCTCTGGCTTAGCCGCTCTCACGCGCTGGCAGCGTGCTCAGCGGCGCTTTTATTTGCATGCCAACGGGCACCTGCATGTACTCACAGATCTGGACGTGACTTGGAGAACAGCGTGTGCTTGTGCATTGAGAGTGAGATGCGCTGGGTACCGAACCCAGCCTCGCCTCTTGCACGTGCCTCGCCCCATTTGTATGCAGAACACGCTCCCCTCTCCTTCCGTTCTTGCCTGCAGTGCTTTCCTCCATGAACAGATGTGCTCTTTCAGCTGTCCTTTACACGTACCCTGCCCTATCCACTGCCCAGCTAACCGCTTCTGTGCTTCCAAGCACTGCTTTTTCCCCTGGCCATTGCTGTGTCCAGAGCTTGTGTCTCGGTGGCATTTCAGAACCTTGGTTAATAGAGAAACTTGAATTATTCAAGAGCTGGGAGCGCATTTCAACTTAAAATTTAATTAGAAACCTGCTGTGTGTCATTTTACAATAAAGGATATTGTAATAGCATCCCTAAATTGGGCAGCCTTCTCCTGTCATGCAAAGCCTGTGCATGAGATGCACACAATCAATGGATCTTACATGCTCCATGTGTGACAGATGCCATGTGATACCTTGTGGAACTGTGTGATGACATCTGTTAGGTTATTTTCAACATATAAATCCATTAAACCGTTTCAAACAGCTGTTGTTTAAGGAAAAAAAAAGTTTATGGTATAAGTTTTCCTTATGTGAGATTTCTGTCTGAACAACAGTGAAGTGTAGCCTGGCATATATGGTAGTTCTGTCCCAGGCACAGATTTGAGACCTGGTATCAATCAAGGCACAAACCAGGATTGTTATACTACTGGAGAGATAAAATTCCCTGCTATGAAAGGAGACCTGTGCTGGCTTCTTCCTTTGTTTGATGTAAAGATATTGGGCCTGGAACTGGTCTTGCAGATAGGCCAGATCTCCTGAGATTTCAAAGATGTGTTAGTCATCTCTCTTTTTTTTCTCTTTTTTTTTTTTTTTTTTTTTTTTTCCAAATGTCCTTCTGAAGTCTGTGTGGGGAGAATCCTCTGCCTTTGTGCGACTTTGAGACTGCAAGAGATAAAAAGTAATAACAATCTGCAGCTGCTGCTCTTTTTTTTTAAGTGCACTCAAACATCCTTTAAAAATATTTCTGGAAAACATGTGGCATCTAAGGCCACCTGTTAGTCCATTAAAAAGTGAGAACAAACTCCCACTGGCAGAGCACAGCTCAGCCTGGGGCTCTGATTCTCCTCAATAATGTGCTTTTGCTGATTTATGCTACAGAACAGTAAATCTATATTGACAATAGTGAGCACCAGCCTGGGGAAAGGCCCTGATATTTGTCTCATTCTGAGTGTGCACAGAAGTGCACGCTTGCATGTGTACTAACCCATGCACAGCTGCTACCCAGTGGAGCTGCATCTAAAAGAGATGGATTAGATCTGGTGGGAATGTAGATGCCATATCCTTATGGAAAGAAGCAGCCTGTGACTCGTATTTCAGCCAAGAGGCAAGTCAGTGGAGCTATGAACCTGTTACTTCTGCATCTCACTGCCTTCAGGCATCCAGAGAACCCAGAAGCTTCTCAGGTTGTAGTTTGGGTTTGGCTGCTTTGTTTCACCTTTGGTATCAAATTGGCCTGAGCCACAGATCAACCCTGAAGATAGAGTGGGCCTGCAGGGACTTGCATCTGGCCCTTCCTGTCCTCTTCTCCCTTCTTCCCACCTTCCCCATCTTGTTTTGCCTGGAGACTTCCAGTTCCCCATGTTATCCTACCGTCACACTGGATTTTCTGGGCAACAGATGCAACCTCTCTTCTAGCTTTAGGGCTAGATGATGGGAGCATTAGGGCTGCAGGTCCCTTTAATTCCCTGATTTTTAGTGAAGGGCTTATATGTTGGTGTATCCATCCTGGAGCGCTCCCTGGTTTGCACCTCTCACTGTTCTCCTTTGGTTCAGAATGCAGTGCCCCATGTGTTCCCTTTCCCATGAAGGCTCTATGTTGAGCAAGCTTAATCATTATTTGCTGGGAAGTACAGGCTCCCAAAAACTTATGCAAGACTTGTGAATGTCTGGTGAATGAAGGCACTTAGTCCCTTTCCTCCCCTGTCCAACAGCTGAACCTCCAAGGATTGGAGTGCATCCTCACATCTTCCAGGATGATGGTGGGCTGGCACGAAGCTCACTTTGTTACAGCCAGGGTCTGCTTTTTTTTAGCTCCAAGGCTGTGCATATGAAGGCCAAGGCATGACTGTGCTTGGAGCTATCAAATCTAGTCTTATAGGTTGGTGATTCACTAGGATGGCATGTGGCACTTTGGGGGGGGAGGAGGGGGAATTGTAATCTTTTAATTATTCGTAGTAATTAGCAGAAGGGACGCCTAGGAGAGTTAGAATGAGGGATAGCAAGACAGACAAGTTAGAAGGACTGTATTTGAAGAAAAAAAAAAAAAATGGGATAAAATATCTTCCATCCCTAATTCTTCTCTGACAGTGAGATTCACTTCCTTCCATGATTAATTACTCGCCACTGGCCAGAGAGATCCCAGTCTCTCTCAGCCTTACTGAAATCTGCTGGGTCTTCATCCAGACTGACAGCAAATCTGCAGTTCTTAGTACTGTGTTCAACCCAAGTATTAATGAAATGAAGCACCTGGTAAAGACTATCTACATAAGAAGCTTAGTGCTGAGCAGCTCCCTGCCTGAGCTCAGCTCCCAGGGTGCCTCTTGTTTACACCCTGGTTTAGTGTACACTGACACATTAGGTGATCTATCTCAGGACAAGCCATCTCAACCAACATGTTGCTGGAGAAGGCTGACCTGTGACAATGAGGGTTCCTCTGTGCATAGTGTTATTCTGGTGCAGCTATACCTGACCAACTCTGTTTGGGTGAGGATGGCTTATTCTAGCCTTATTGGAGTTCATACACTGAGCAGGAAAAAGGCACACGGGGCTATTTGGGAACAGCTGTAGCACTTGCTGCCCAGTCTCTACCTGAAGCCAATTCCAAGCACAGTGAGACCTAACCACTGTGCTACCCTGGGTCTCTCCTTTAACTATGATCTCTTTTGTGTGTGTGGGCCTGTCTTGGAGTTGTAGGTAGTAACTTCTCCAACCTCTTCTGGAAGATTAGGATATTAGCCCCAATTGGCTCAATTCCAGCACTAGTAATTGCATTTTGCCTCTTTGAAATCCCCCTGCAGTTTCAATCAGATGGAGTATGCATTTTTGCAGTAAGCCTCACTGCTCTATACTGCAAAATGATGAGCAGATACCCCCTCAGACCTGGCTGCATTTTAAGTAGTGAGTAGAGAGCACCTTGCACTTCCCAAAGTTAGCAAATACTTTAGTATGAATGATGCTGTCAGGCTGTGGTGTTGTGGTGGAAGCCCAGGAATGTTCTTGTCTTTATTACAGTGCCTTCTAGTTATCAGTAATTCAATCACTGGTTAACATGATCTTCCAGTTTAATCCAATAAAGACCTTATGGTCAGGTTATATGTACTAAAAACAATGAAGGTCATCCTTTTTCTGAGCTGTCATAGTTGCTTTAAACATCTAATAGTGGCAAATACAGGGTAGGGAACCTTGTAGGGCGGTAACTGAGACCAGCTTTTCTGAATGAAGGAGAACCAGAAATATAATGAATTAAATGTCTGGCTGGGGAATTGTGCTTTGGCACAGTGCCAAGTCTTGGCCCATCTGGTGTCAGGGAAGTTTTGGTATTGATTTCAGAGGAAGCAGGACATCGCATAAATGGCAGCTCTTGCAGAGGTTTGGAGCTCATGTTCACCTCTCCCAGGACAAATCATCGCCCCAGGCAAAGGAAATTAATCTGTGCGACCCAGACCTAGGTCTGCCGGGACATGCAAAGGGCAGGACTTGGAGTGGCAGGAGGTCTGTGCGAGATGGTTTCTTCAGAAAATAGTGCCTGAGGGTCTTTGCAAGAGAGCTTGGAAGGGAAAAGCTGGGGAGGTTGGGGGAGGTGAAAACAGCTGGATGCTGCAGTGTGAGTAATATTGCTACTGATGGAAAGCATTAAAGGGCATAGCTAAGGATGTGGTGGCAAAGAGGTGAGGTGGAGGTGTGGAATTTCATATAGGTGAACCAGACTCCCAAGGGGATGGTGTGACTGAGAAGCTCCGGGAGAGTACATGATATGGAGCTGTGGCTGCCCGCTTTGCTCATCTGGTCCATCCCTGCTAGACTGTTTGGCCAGAGATGCTGGGACAGTTTCATGGCTCCGCCAGGCAGTCCTCTTGAGCTGTCCCCCTCAGTGATCAGGCTGCCTACATTGTGGCATGTGTCTGGAAGGTGTACATGGCACATGCCACCTCTGTGTGTGGCCACAGGTTCCTCTTGTGCTCCAACCTACTGCTGATCTTGATAGGAGACTTACCAGACCCTGGCGCGGAAGGCTCTGATGGTGTTTGCAGCTACTGCCTCCTCCCTGCTCAGGCACCCTTCTCGTTGTCAGTGCTCTGCTTCCTCGCTGACATTTGATGAGCTGATAAATGAGCCTGATGAATCTGGCATTACAGCCAGCTCCATAATACCTGTCTCCTTTAACAGAAGACCCTGCCCCACTTCTGCAGCAGGAGCACAGGTCACCTGAGTCTCGCCTCTCTGTTCCACAGTTGCTGTTTCTCTCTGCAAAAGCTGGTGGGGCTGGAAGTAGATAGCACTGGCATAGCTACGTGGGAAGGTTTGTGGGTGCACTTCCATGTGCCCAGGGCAGTGGAGCCAGGTGTAGAGGGTCTGCTGAAGGTAGAGGACAACCAAGTGGGCCAGTGGGTTATTGGATCTAGAAGACCACTTGCTGAAGGAGAACTGCTGGATGAATGTTGGAAGGAACCACTAAAAATGGGAGATGCCCTTTGAGTTCCCTTGGGGCTGGGGAAAGGGGGAGTCAAGAGAAATACTGAGAAGACTCTTTGCACGGGAAAGCTCTTAGCTATGCATTGCACAGATGAGTTGACAGAAACCACCTTGTCTGGAAGAAGCCTTGGGAAGAAGATGCTGGGATCATACCAAGGAGATGGACAGTGTGCAAAAATTCCTTCAAATCATAGAAGAGGGATGTAAACTAAAAGAAAATATGAGTATATTAAAGAGACCTGATCTTGAGAAGTGGACAGACGCCCCTGGTAGTGAGACAGTGGGAGGTGATTCCAGACAGGAACTAAGTGTCTAGGTGGAAGGAAGAATTGACTCACCATCCATGAACCTCTGAACCTGGGAAGTGATTGAACCCCTTTGGGAACTGGGTTGTATGGAGAGCTTCTTGTTTTAAGGAGCACAAACCAGCACAATTCTGACCAAAATGCTCCCAGCTTAGCATGCAGGATAGTGGAGAGACTGGTGGCAAGTGGGGATATTAATTAGTAGTGAGTGTGAGGATTCCTGTGTCTGCTTCTACCTTGTTGATCTGTTGGCCCAGAGAAGCAGCCCAGGTTTCAGTCTTTGTCTGCCTTGTAAGACAGAAACCTGCTGGGAGAGAGTGGGATGGGTTCTCCTGAGATTTCATCGCCCGGGAGAGATGGCAGAGGCAGCAGTCCTTCCAGCATCCTTAGATCTTGTTGGTGGAAAGGCGGCATGGCTGCACCAGGCAGGGCTTTCCCCCATGAGAGTTAGCTAATCTGTGACAGAGCACCTTAAGAAAAGGGCGAATGTATGACTTCAAAGGAGAGCTGACAGGCCAAGAGCATTTCTAGCTCCTGTGGGGCAAACCTCATTCTGCTTTTTCCTGTTTTTTCTGCTGTGCCCATCTGTCAGTTCTTGCCCTCCTCCAGGTGGGAAGAGAGGAGATGCAGAGGAGTTGAGAATATCTGAGAGTGTCTTTAGGCAAAGGAGATGGCAGATTGGATCACTGATCCTTGAAAATAACATCTCATCTGACAGGCCTTGTTTTAAGGGGCAAACCTCTCACTTTTTGCCCACAGCACATCAGGGCAGGCAGGGTTTCTGCTGAGGTTAGTGGTTTTGGTGCAAACCCTGAGTATCCCTGCAGCAGAAAGAACAGCAGAGCCCTGGGAGATGCACTAAACCTTCACCATCTGTCTGAAGAGGGTCCTGACCTAACGTCCTCAATCCTGTGGTCTGTGGCTGTTGCTGCTGTTAATGATTATCTATCGAGCAAGGCGGTGACTGTGTCTGCAGACACTGGGATGTACAGCTGTTGGTAAGGACCTTTGGGAAGACTGGTGCCAGGCAGTGGAGGGGAGCTGTTTTTTTTTTTTTTTGTATGTGCTGCTGCTGATTGCTCTTACCAGCCTCCTTGGCCTCTGAGGGAGCATCAGCAGGTAGGCTGTTGGGTAGCAAAAATCTTTTAATCCTCAAGGTCCTTGGGTAGAGTCTCAGTCAGGATGGGTTCTCTCTATTGAAACACAGTGACAAAGCAGACATTGCTTCCGCCTGCGGTGGTCAGTAGTTCTCAGTGGCCTGTTTGCAGCCAGAACTGGGAGACAGTCACTGCATCATGATTCCAAAGGTCGGCAGCTGGATCACGGTCATCTTTGGGCAGGACCTGGAGGGAGCTGCTGACAGCATGAAGTGAATGAGCTGTGGGTTAGCAAAGCCACTTGCCAGCTGAACAGGAGCATCTCTTTACCTCCTGCTCGGGATGGAGGGAGCAGCGTGGTTCTCTGCTCAGGAGGGATGGGGAGGAGCATGCAGGAGCAGCACGGGCAGTCCTGCTTGCCAGGGAATATCCAAGGCAATGGATGTGTTTGCTGACATGACCCTCCCTGCCTGGGAGCTCACACCCACTCTGGCAGCAGCAAGCGATGGATTGGAATCGGGGATGCATGGAGATTCCTTGTGCAGATATTCCTCTGTAAGGCATCCAGACAGCTGCTGCCCACTATGCTCAGTGGAACATCTGCTTTGGCAGGCAGGAGTGGAGGTGGGGGCCTTGGGGATTTCAAAGAGTCACTTAACAGTAACCATAGACAGGGCAGGGTGCTTGCTTCTGGCAGTGGAAGGATCATCTTCCCTTTCTCAATCAGAATATGAGCTGTGCTCATCTTGGGGAGGAAGAGAGTTAACTGGCATGCAAATTCCTGAAACGGAGCTCCTCGATTACAGGCGATTTCTCAAGAAAGATGAAGGTTGATTTATGCCTGCTGGATTTGTGACTGCCACTCTGAGCTTAACATATCTGATCTTACAGAGACTCTCCTTATCCTGGGATCTGAGCTCCTTGCTGGGCTTCTAGAAGCCACTGCCTGCTCTGACTTTACATTTGTGAGGTGCATCTTCTCCTTCAGCATCTACAGTTGTCTAGCAGCATCATGTTCATTCATGGTCAGAGCCACACAGAGCGATCAGGGGCTGAAGTTGGAGGGAGGGGAGTTAGATTTTTGCGCCCGTTTCTGGCTTCTGTTTCCCTGCAGCAAAACTGTTCCTTAATGACACGGGAGTCTCATAATGCAGGTGTTTGTGGGATGACTCTTCTGCTGTGAAGTGCTGTACAAACTGAAGTTCTTAATTTCAAAGATGCCCAGGTTGATTCAGGTTTTGGTGGTATTACTTCGATGTGCCAGGGAGTAGGATTTGGTTTGCTGTGCTTTTGTTTCTCTTCCTAGTATTTCCCATTTAGCTTGGAGCTGACTGCTTCTACCACCTTGTATCTTTCTGAATCCCATCTGAAATGAACCTCTGGGTCCCAGCCTGATTGCGAACACTCACAACCTCACCTTAAAGTTGCCAGGTGTCAAAACTATTATTTATTATTGGCTGTGAAAATGCTTCCGGACAGAAAGGAGTAGGGAGAATGAACATGTGAATTACCCTTAGAGCAAGTGGGTTTACTGGGATGGGAGAGGGAGCTGGGGAAGTGCAGGAGCTTGCACTGCACTTGTCAGATGGGATTGTTCTTTTCAGTGGCAGGCTACCTGCTCTTAGAGAGTCTCTGCCACTTGACCCCATCTGTGGCTAGACACATATAATGGGTCCAACTGTCTGCCTTTCAGAGTTCATTGTTACTTGGGATGTGACATGAAGTCTTTTGGATCTTTTTAGATTACAACTTTCCTGCTGCATCTCAGAAGGCCCTGCTGAAGAGGAATGGGACACAGGTGAAAGAGAACTGGGAAACAGCCACTGTCCAGCCACCGGCAGAATTTGTTGAGCCTGACTTGCACACGCCTTTCTCCAGCACACTGGAGGAAGAGGAGGGCCTGCTCCCTATAGACCACTCAAGAGGAGTGGAGAGCCTCCAGACCTCTGAGCCAGAGGTTACATCTTCTGAGCCAGTGGGCCAAGAGGACTCCTTCCTTCTGTTTTCCACAGCTTCTGCCAGGCCAGGTATTGTGACCGAGGCATCCGTAGGAGGGCAAGAAGAGGACTCTGTTCCACCAGGCTTAGACCTTGGGAGCAGCATGGGACCAGGTCTTCTGCCTGTGTCCTCTATTTTTTCTACTACTATTGCTGCAAAGTCTCCCAGTGTTTCAGAAGAGCCATTTGAGGTGACAGCCGGGGACATATGGGCTGTTGGGGGAGCAGATTCGGAGCTGACTGTGGCTACAACAAGAGCAGAGCTTGTGGAGACCACAGTGGAGGCTGGTGGGGAAGAGCATTCGGCCAGAGAGGAGGTCTCAGAGACCATGGTGGGGTGGGAGATGCTGGAGCCCACACTGCTAACTGAAATGGAACAGACAGTGGAAATGTCTGTGGGGACATCCTTTTCTGGAGGCAGTTCCCCAGGCACCCAGACTCTTTCTGGGAGTGAGCAACACCCCACTGCTTCTGCGTCTCCGTGGGACAGGGCTGTTGAACCTGCGCTGGATCCCATTTGGAATGACACCGAGTCGGCCACTGAGACTGTGGCAGCAGAGAGGAGCTTGTCACCACAGGCTGGGGATGCCCGCATGCCCATGCTGCCAACAGAGCTGCCCTGGGACTCAGCACAGGTAGCACTGGGAGTAGGGGGGTGGGTGGGAGCTTGCACTGGAGATACTTGGATACTTTTTCTCTTGGGGAGGTGTTTAACCCCTTAACTTCACCCATGTCCATACGTCTGACTGGAAGTAGCTGCTTCTGTTCACCCAGACAAAACTGAATTATGGGGAGAGTTTTTCACTGAACTTCTTAAGGGTATCCATCATCCTTGGTGAAAGCCCTGCCCCCTCACATCTTCCCCAGCAGACTGCTGTACAAAATCCTGCTTCTAATAAACACCTGCCCTCTGGGGCATGCACAGCAGTGAAAGCTTGTTTCCTCAGCCTGCATTATTGGAAGTGTCAGGACAAAATCAGCCGCAAGGATTTCTGGAAAAGGAGTGAGAAGGAAGTGCTATTTTTGCTGCTGCCTGCAGGGACCAGATGCAGAACAGGTGGAGCAGGGTACAGTGGGCTGTGAGGATGTTGGTCTGGAAGAGCCTGTGGGAGAGGAGGTGTGAGGTGAACTGCAGTTCCTAAATCCAGCAAACTAGCAGCTGGTTAAAGGATGATAGGTAGCAGGAGCTGACTGATCAGAAAGTGGTGGGGAAAGCTTTTTACTTTGCTTTCTGCCCCACAGTACTCAGGACCCTGAGCAAGTGACTTAGTCCCTCTGTGCAGCCAGTCCTGCCTGCAAAGTGCTACCCTGTGTCACCAGTTTAAGGACCACAGAGGCTCCTGGTTAAGTTTTGTGTTAAGTGCTGATCACATACAGAATAAGGCTGCAGGCTAGAGAGCTTTCCCCTGAGTACCTGAGTCCTCCTGGAGTCTAGATAGAGGTAAGCTTGGCTGTGGTGCAGTAACCTTGTCCCTGCTCCATGTGCTAGTACTGAAATGGTGATTCTTCATTAATACAGAGAGTTAGAGGACAGTTACGTCCTTTGAGAAGCACTTCTCAGGGGTATGGCACAGCCCCTTGCTCCTGTCCCTTGTGTACCCTGTGCTTTCAGCAGGAGAGCTGCATTTGCTACCTGAACCCAACTGTCTTTGTCTTGTCTCTCCAGGTGATCTGCAAAGACTGGAGCAACCTTGCGGGGAAAAACTACATCATCCTGAATATGTCGGATAACATTGACTGTGTAAGTCAGTCCAAAGAGATTTGATGTCAAGGCGGGCCCAGGGAAGTGGAGGCAGGCATAGATCTTGCTGTCTGCTTTCACTACAAAACGTTTTAAAAGCGCTAAATTTCAACTTCCCTAGAGAGGCTGTGGAGAGAAGGGGAGGACAAAAATATTCCTCTTCTCTAAAAGGGAAAAGAGTGGATCGAGAGAGAAGATTTTGTTCAAAGTCTAGAACGTGACAGTCCTATATTGGGTTTTGACTAACTTCTGTTTGCTAATCTGTGCCAGTCAGTACCTGGATTGTCATGAGACATGAGAGCTTTTAACATTGCACCTCTTACTGGTAGGAAAGGTGGCAGGATTGAAGTGTGATTCTCCTTCCCTCTCTTCCTTTTCCTTCCCCCCCCTTCCAGGGTATAGTAACATTTCTCTGATGGCTCAGAGGACTCCCCATTTTCTGTGTGAATGGTTCCATGTCAAGCAGCTGTCACTAAATCTTCCTTAAGTGCCTCTTCTCCCCACCCTGTTATCTTGTGTGTTATCTGGGTCTGTTAACCAGCCATGCTCTGCTAATCCAATGCCTGTCCATCCATCCCCATAAAGCTGAAGTTAATTCACGAGCCCAGAGCCTCTTGTGGATCTCTGGTAAAAGGGCTTGTTCACCTCTGCTGGGCCTTTTATCAGGCACTTTAAAATCAGTTGTGAAAGGCCTGGGGTCAAGGTGCCTTTCATAATTTTAAGAAATGATTACGAGCCTGACAGCCCAAGACAGAAATGTTTCATCGGGGAATGGTGTTCTGGCCTCACATGTCTGCACTCTTACTTTCTGTGGCTCTTGCTTTGGGCAGAGCCGGCTGGTTTTGTTACTGCAGGGTGGTTCTGTGGCACTGACCTATTTCCACTACTGATGAGTTGTTGGGTTTTTTGTTTGTTTGTGTGTTTTTGGGTTTTTTTTTAGTTTTTTAAGGTGAACTTTTTAGGGACAGGGAAAACAGGGGAATTCCTATACACAATAAAGCATGCTGACTGCTTTAAGAGTAGATAAAAAGTCAGTCTCTTTCTTCCTGATTTAGGCAAACCAGTTTGCTCTTTGGAAGATTTAAAGTATCTCTGCTACAGTTCACAATTGCAACTCAGAAAATCAGTCCTGAAAAGAGGAGTCCTGCTGTCCTGTTTCCTCCATGTCCTAGTCCCCCTTGCTATTTCTCCCATCTCTGTGGAGTTTAAATGCCGGTGAATTTTGTACTATGTAGTAGCTTCCTTCCTGTGGTCACTTGCACTTGTGTTCTTTAAGCCACTGGAAGGGTGAGAACTGAAGAGCAAATGTGCAGATGTCTGTTGACCGAATCGTGTCTTTACTGTTGAATCCTCAGTTCTACCTTGTTGAAAGGAGACAGTGCCATGGGATGGGCAGGAATTAACTGTTTTTCTACTTGATTTCATGTTTCAAAACATATTTCCCAGTGAATCATTTGTGCTGTCCTCCCCTTTATTCAAAGGGACACTTGTCAACATACATATTCAGCATGAACATTGCTTCATTCCCTGCCTCCCATTACCACTTTGCATGGCTGGAGCTGGAATCAAGCTCTTCTCCTTTCCACTGATGTTGATGCAGTTTGTTTCCTAGCCGTAGTAATTTGCTCAGTTTGGGCAACTCACCTACCCTTTGCCTGTCCCTTTTGTTTTTTGGTTTCTGTAACCAAACCCTGTAGTGTTTGGATTTCCAGGGTTACAAGGAAGAACCTGCATTGCAGATGCTGTGGTTTAAATTAGTGCGAATGGGGATTCCTCATATATTTCCTATGTTTTGATGCACTGATCTGGTGTGGTACCGAGTCCCACTGAAAAGCTGAGCGACATGGAGGATGCTTAGCCCCTTCCAGAGGGTTGCACCTTGAGCTTTAATATTCTCCACAGCACCAAGCTTTTACCTGCTGTAGGGATGATGTCTGTATTGCTGGGTTAAGCTGGCAGCCCATGTAACTTCCTAATGGGCTCTGGGCAAGACGGTCACTTCAGTCTCTCTCTGGACACATCGCCCACTCAATATACCTGGGAATTTTGCCCAAGTGAGGACTGCAGGATCTGACCCAACAGTGGTACCTGGCTATGTATTGGGAGCTGACCTCCATCTCGGTGCATGTGCATTTAGGTTCCTTCAAAGGTCCCTTTTCTCCACCACAGAGAATTTGTCAGTGCTATGCAACTTCTGCTTTCCCCATCATTAGAAACATCTCACCTCTGTCTTCCATCTGCTCCTGGGCTCAGCTGCTCCCCCTTCCTCCGCATCCCCCAAAACAGAACAGCAGGCTGGCAGCGGGGCTGTGAGCTGGAGCTGCAGCTGAGCAGCATGGCACTGCATCCCCGTGCTGCTGCTCCTGCCTCCCCGTGCCGAAACCCATAACCTGATGAGAGGAAGCACTGGCAGGCCCTTGTGATTCAGGCCTCAGTCATCAGTGTCTTTTCCAATTAGGCCATTTTCGGCACAGGCCTGTGCCTGCCCTGAGCGCTTCAAATTGCTATGGAAACAGGAGCTCTCCATTTTATTAATCATCTGTGTGGCCTTCAGGTTGGCATGGCAACCAGAGATAAGAATAGAAACACAGGAGTGAGAAAGCAGCAAAGGAGCCCGCCGAGGGATGGCTGGAGCATGTCAGGCTGAGCGGCACCCGCTGACCCAGCGCTGGCTGCGGGGGAGCGCCTGGCTGCTTCCTCTTTGCCTGACACCATTTCAGGTTTCAGGATCTCTGTGTGCTGGGGGAGCTGGGCTTGGCATAGTGTGGGGTGTATGGCAGCCGCCGGAGCCCAGGAGGGAGGGTTGGTGCATCAGGAGACATGTGTGGGTCCAGCCTGGGACACTGGGGCTGTGTGGGGAGTGTTGCACCAGATTTAGCATAGCCAGCTTTTGGGTACCCGTGGTTCAGGGGTCCCAACCGTGCAGCCATGCCAGCTCTGCAGTGCTACATCTGCCCTGTTCCCACCATGTGCTCACCAAGGTTCCTTTCCTGTGGCAGGAGGAGTTTCGGCTGGAGAGGGGTCCCCAGCTCTTGGCACTGGTGGAGGATGCCTTCTCCAGGCAGGCGGACGGACTGCAGGACCGCTGGCTGATCTCTCTGAGCAAACCCAATGAGAACGACAAGCACTTGCTAATGACGTTGGCAGGGGAACAGGGTAAGTGCTGAGAGAAGGAGCCTTCCCGTGATGGATGGCTGTATTTAAGGGGCGCTCAAATAGAGATGCTCAGCCACGTTGGAGCTTTCGCTCTCCAGTCCGTTTCAATCCCATCAGTTCTCAGTGTTAACTGGGTTTGAGGGATGGAGAGGGACTGTGGATATAAGACTCTTTTTCTTCACATCCACCTTCTGGCTTGTCCCTCACTGCTTTTACAGAGCTCCATCTTCTGCACTTTGCCTCCTGCTTTGTTCACTCTCTGGATTGCCTTCACTCGAGCATCCATCAGCTTTCTCCCAGTGCTTGTATACTCTCCTCCGTGGGTAGGCCACTGCAATGGCAGGACATGACAGCCTGCTCTTAGTTCACTTCTTAACACTTCTTAAGTCTTGTCTGAACTGGGCCAGTCCTGATGGTGCTTCCCCTGCATCCCCAAAGAAACAAAAGCTGACAGTGAAAGGTGGGCTGGAACATTTTCTCATCCCTTTTAATCCCCTTTTGGTAGGGGGGGTGCTTTTCCTGTGCTGCTGCTGCCTGCTTAGCAGACAGCTAATGATAATGTTGACATTATGGCCTATAAGAAAAAGACCCAACAGTATTATGAAATGCCCCACAGTGATAGGAAAATAGAGCTAACATTTAAGTGGTATTTGCTGTACTGATGCCTTAAATCATTACATGTCTCCCAAACCCTTGGGCTGGAGCATGTGCCAGTGAAAAGACTTCAGTGAACCTTTGGTCTTCTAAACTAAAACATTCATGTCATCCTGAGAGGGGACATCCTTCTTTCTGGAGAATAAAACAGTTCTGAACTCCAGAAGCACAGACAGGCTGGGAGATATCCCCAAGCTTAGAAACCTCAGGAACCAAAGTATTTTCTGCTCTGAATAATCAAGCTTTTGTTCAGTTCCTCTATTTACTGCTGTTGTAAGTGAAGGGAGAAATGGGCCTCAGCCTCTAAACCCTCCCTGACTGCTCCTGTTGTCCTGGCTTGGAGAGCATCCTGGGAGCTGTTAGGGAAGGAGGGTCCCAGGCAGGGGTGGCTCAGTGTGGGCTGGTGGCTCTCTGGCTGAAGCTGTCTCCTGCTGGGAGTGGAGTTGTCACAGCACATCTGCTTCAGTCTCTGCTGTTGTGCCAGGCACACCACTTTGCCAGGGTGCTCTGCAGAGCAAAACATGCTTGCTAAAGGTTGTGATGGGTGAGCATGGAGCTCTGGGGGAACATCTTGAGTGCTGCAGCTCAGGATCAAGTTGTGCTGGGAGTGGAGCTGTCACAGCACATCTGCTTCAGCCTCTGCTGTTGTGCCAGGCACACCATGTTGCCAGCGTGCTCTGCAGAGCAAAACATGCTTGCTAAAGGTTGTGATGGGTGAGCATGGAGCTCTGGGGGAACATCTTGAGTGCTGCAGCTCAGGATCAAGTTGTGCTGGGACAGGGAGGCTGGATCAGGAGGCATAGATACCTGCTTCCATGACTTTTTGTACATTGCTGCTCACTCCTAGAGCAGAAACAGATCTTGAGAGATGCTGTGGGGAGGGCACCTAGGTGCTTCTGGTATCAATTCATGCCTGGATTTCTTCCCCCCTCTAAAGAACATTTGGAGTGATCCTTGGTTGTGGTCCTTGCATTCTTTCAGCCTCCTAATATAAAGTACCAATGAACAAAAACATGCTTTCCCATGCCTCCATTCTGTTGGGGATTTCACAGTGATGAATACATCTATATGAACTAACCTGAGCTGAGAGCAGCACTGATCTCTTCCTCTCCTTTACAGGCATCATCCCTACAAAAGATGTTCTCATGGCACTGGGGGATGTTAAGAGGAGCTTAGCCGAGGTAAGAGCCTGTCTGCCTGCATCCATTTGTTAAGACTAGCTATACAATTAAAATAAGCACCTTGAAAACTGGGAGCATATCTGAGTCTAACCAAGTGCTGAACCCACAGCAGGCAAACAGATGAGTCAGACACTTGGCAAACTCCTTTCTCCCCTCTCTGGTAGTTGCCAGGCCATCAAATGTCTGCTCCCATTAAGAGAGTAACTGTGAGTTATTCTCTCCCTGCTTTTCTGTCTTGCTTGTGAAGCTGCTTTTCGCACATTTGTTTTGCTGGGATACTTGGTCTCATGGCTTCTACACTATTGCCTGCAGCAATGCGGGTGGTGCAGAGCCCCAGATCTGGCCCTGCTCACCCTACAGCTGACTTACAAACATTGGCTGCTCTCAATAGCTCAAGCTTTGCTGAAGGATGTGAGAGGGGTGCCTGTGCTAGATGGGACATGTTCACACACCACCTTCTTGCAATCTCAGGGTCTGCATTTCATTCCTTTAGACATCTGCCTACCCAAGGGCAGGCAGAGGACCAGAGGGGATGGATGCCAAACTTTACTGCCAGCTGCCTCTAGACCTTATATATTCCCCTCTAATCCTGGGTGGCTTGGAAGAGGGTAGAGATGAGGACAAATTAATCCCACAATCTCTGACTTTGCCCCTTAGGCCTATGAGATGCGTAGGCACCGAGCGCCTGATTCTGCTTGGGTTTTTTACACTACTGGAGTAATTCTGCTGACTTTAGCAGCAGACTTGGGCCACTGCCTCGCTGGCTGTCTGCTTTCAAGTTTTTCCCTGACCTAACAAACTGGTGAAGTCAGACAAAGCAAATTAAGTGCTCAGTGCTGTATTGATTGGCTTACACCAGAGAAAGCGTGAAAAAACAACCCTCTAGAAATTGTGACTGAAGTATCAGCAGCTAGATCTGTCCAGAAAGGAGGATTCGTGTCTGTGCAAGGTTTGACTTCTTTGTGCAACTGTGACCCTACCTTAACGTACATCCTATCAGAGCAGCACCTCACCACCTGCCTCCAGCTCTATCAATAATGAAACACTGCTCATTGCACTGACCTTGTGCTAGCATAAGCGTGGAAGGAGGAGGGAGGATATTCTCTTACACACATCATACTCACTGTTGAATTGATATGTAATCCCCTTGAAATCTGCCAGGTCTCTGGGACTGACGTTGGGCTTTGACAACCATAGGGGCCCATTTCTAGGGCAGCTTTTTGAATTGGTGGGCAGCTGTCCACTTTCAAGACATCAGAAAGACTACTATGTCCTCTTAGGACCAGAGCTTTAATGGAAACCTATTTATTACGGTTTCATTCTCTGTCACACAGTCACCAAAGCCTTAGCACCCATCAATGGTCTGTAGTTTGTTTTGGGTGCTCTTAATCTTGGGCACTTTCTCCCGTGAAAGCATCCTCATCTTCCACATAGGTGTGATCCTTGTGCAGGTAATCAAGGTAAGATTGTGCCTACTGTCATTTGCTGATGTGTCACCTTTCATGGAATGTAGTGTTAAATTTAGTCATGCGCCTTCTAGTCATGTAAGATAGTGTACATCCTGACTCTCCAACCCTGACTTCTGGTTCCTTTGTCCACAGTGGTGGTCTCATATTTGGACCCTGGAAAGTCTGAATAAGATCCCACCTGACTGCAGGCCAGGGGGTTTAGTGTACTCCTTTCTTCCTTCCAGATTGGCATCCAGAATTACTCAACCACAACAAGCTGCCAGTCACACCCCAACCAGACACGCAGTGATTATGGGAAACTCTTTGTGGTACTGGTGATCATTGGCTCCATCTGTGCCATCATCATCGTATTGGGGCTCATATACAACTGCTGGCAGAGACGCCTGCCCAAGATGAAGAACGTGGTGAGCACTGAATGGGTGGAGAAGGTGGCTAGACTCTTAGCCCTTGGGATGGAGGGGATTGGAAAGTTAGTGAGATTGTTTTCCCCTGTCACCTTACTGGAGGTAGCTGGATACACTGCTAGAGCAGCAAGGAAACCTACTCAGGCATAAGAGAGATGCAAACCTGTCTCTTGCTGTGCTGGGGACAGCTCGTTTCTACTGTGAGGGCTGGGCTAGAAGTAAATTTACCTTTTCCCACTGACCCTGCGAAGTCCTCAGTGACCTTTGTAGCCTGGTCTGATTGTACTTCTCAGCAGCATTAAGACCTGTCCTCTTTTGTCTCCATTTGTGTTCCTCTCGTCCTTTGCAGTCGCACGGCGAGGAGCTGCGCTTTGTTGAGAACGGCTGCCATGACAACCCCACCTTGGATGTGGCCAGTGACAGCCAGTCAGAAATGCAGGAGAAGAAACCAAGCGTGAATGGTGGAAACACCATCAATGGCCCTGACAGCTGGGATGTCCTGATCAATAAGCAGGCGAGCGAGGATGTGGATGTGTTTGAGGAAGACACGCATCTTTAGGAAAAGAAGGGAGGGAACCACCCCCTTAAACACACTTGTCTCTCTCCTATCTTGACTGATGGACCATGGGATCAGATGGCTTCTCAGGAACTTCTTAAAGGCTTGGAATGGGACAAGTCTTTGTGCAAGTTTTCCCAATAGAAGTCCTGAGCCTGCATCTGCGGCTTGGAGCCAGGAGGATCACTGAACAGAGGGAAGCGGGAGGGGTGGGTTTGTAGGTCTCTGTGTGTGTGTTCCTATCAGTAGCACCAATGCTTTTATCACCTTTAAATGCACTTACTGTAGCTCTCTGGTAGTGGCTGAGAGTGGCTGGGCTTGACAAGCAAGGCAGTGAGGCTAAGTCTGCCGCCAAGAGTCCAGCTTTGGAGAGTAAATTCACTTTGGGAGTCCAGCTGGAGCTATGGCAGCCACATCCTGACCTTGAGATCACATTCAGTCCCTGCAGGTGAAGTAAAACCTGTGCATTCTGGATGGAGGGGAGCCAAGACTGAGTTGATATCCTGGGCAGTGTTTGCATTCCTCATGTGAAAAGAGGTTTTCCAGTGCTCTAGCATTCAGCTGCTAATTAGATGGGCTGATGTTTACATTCCGGGGGGAAAAAAATCCCACTGTCATCTCATTTCCCCCCTCAAACCACAAACAGCCCTGCTCCCTTTTTCAGCTCCACAGCTCCAAGCTGAGTTTGCAAAGTTTGAGCACTTTATCCTTGCTTGACTGATTGCAGAGAATTCAGTGCCATGGTGCAGCATCTTAGCTGAAAATTTGCTTTAGGTTGGAGAGTTGCTCAAAAAGGACATTTACATGCCTCTTTCACACAACACCTGTGAAAGCAGCAGCAGTGTCCCTTGTCTAAGTATCAGTTTTAGAGTGGCAGGCCTTCTCCATGCCTATTTTCCAGGATAGTTTAGTTTCTGTTGGGTCTTTTTGAGGTAAATGTAAAGACTATGTGAGACTTTTTAAACAAGGAGAAAAGTAAGAACTTGAAAACATAATTTTTTGGTCCTTTTGTTTCCTTTTCAGCATCCTGCCCTGAGGGGGGGAAGTGTCCCACAGGTGTAAATCGGGGTAACATCTTTAAAATCACTGCATTTTTAAGCAAGTGTAAAAGCCAGTTCAGATGAGATGAGGATCAGATCTAAGAGCTCCCTAATGAACGTTTCTCAGGCATGCCTCAGGCAACTATGAGGCTCCAGCTCCCTGAAGATGTGTGATAAAAGGCACGTGAATATGCATAATTGTTCTCTGAGCCCTGCCTAAACTGAGACTCAGAACTACTGTCAAGCCTGAAATCCCAGAACAGTTGTTTCTTCTGTCATCAAGGGATTGAGGGACTTGCTTCTGTCAGAGTCAACAGTATTCCTCTCTGTTACGGTGATCTGCATGCTTGCTTACTGAAAGGTGCAGCTTTGCATTTGGTCTTTAAGGGAACCTTTGTACAGAAAGACCCCAGATATGCAGCCTGATGCCAAGCCTGTAAATCTATCCCTGTATGTACAGATATTTTAGCATGTTCATCCCTGATGTGAGTGCCTAAGCCAAGGTACGAGAGTCTGTTGTTTCATTTTGCATAGCCCTTTGCATACAAACTGAATCGCAGATCACCTTGATGTAGGACCACGTTGAGATCAGTCTGTTAGGGATTCAAGAAAGGTGATAGCTGTTGGTTTCCTACCCAGATTCCAGTTTTCAGTGTTTTTTATGCTGCCTCCAAATCTTTCCCTGTATTATGTAGGAGATGGTGATCATCGGCTCCTTTTGTATTTTGTTGGTAGGGTTGCAGAGATGCTCAGAGGAGTTCCCTCTCCTGCCCCAGCAGTTGACAATGGGGGACAGTCCATGTACGTGTGGTCCTTCTCCAACCACTCCTTGCTGATGGCTCCTTCTGAGTTTGATGGGTCTGTGCAGTGAAACTGCACAAGTTCAGTGGCTGTGTTGATGGCACTTTGGAGCTCACACGATTAAATGCAAGTTGTTGTTATGATATGGTGAGTAAATTTAAAGCATGGAGTTAAAATTTGAGTTTGTATAGCACTTAGCGTAACAGGACGTGGCATGGCCATGGCCTTTAGGCAGTTTCACCGTATAAATGTCTCTATAATCATTAAATAAGTTTTTAATGCCCAGTGGCTATTAAAATGGTAACATCACCAATCAGATGTGAATTAGTTCACTGACAAAACATTTCCTTGGTGCACATTGTTGCTAGGACCTGCTTTGCTGCCCTGTTTTCTCTCCACTTTACTAATTCAGAGAAACGAAAGGTGCTGGCTGGGCTCAGCACCTCCTGAACTGGTGTAAAGTCTTCAAACTGTAAAGAAACCAAGGGGGCTATATGGGCTTACTAATAAGCTAGCAAGTTCCCCTGATTTGATCTTCTGGCTTCTTATGGTCTGAAGGTTTTCCAGGCTGAGAACAATCTTCTGCTGTCTCTGACAGGGTGTACCTGACTGTATGATCTCAGTTTAGCTCCAGAAATTTACTGGTTAATAGGATTTCACTTTAGTCTGGTGATACTTTTTATACCTTTACCGTCTGTTTTTCCTCTGTATCATTTTTTTGCACTAGGCTGATCTTGTTAAGTCGATTGCACTGTTGTCCCTCTCCCCCTCAGCCTTGCAGAGATGGGTCATCTCTGGGGACCTGTGTGCTGGGGAGCACTGTAGGGAGGCTGTTGATAGCCCACTTACTCTACTGGTCAGTGCTTGGGTTTCCAGCTCTACACAGGGAGGATTTAGAGGAAGAGAAACTTTGTCTTAGCATTTGTAACGGGAAGCTTTTCTATCACCTTAACGTAGTTAAACTTGTTTTTAACAAAAACTGTCAAAGCTGGACTTCTCAGAGCAGTGCGCCAGGCAGCACAGCAGATGCAGGAGACAAAATGATTCCTGGAAAACTGTTTTCTGCTTACTCGGACTTCACTGTAGTCCCATCTGCCAAACGTTCGATCGCACTGACACCTAGTGGCTGCTGGGAGTTGGAGAGGAAAAATAATAAAAAAGGACTTTTCCCCCCTCTTAGCTCTGGGTATTTGTTTCCTGTGACTAGCCTAGGACAGTCACCTGCTTTATTCACGAGGTGCTGTTGGACTCACCTGTGAGCAGAGGGGCTTGTGCCAGGCACGTAAGGGATGGTTTGTGTGAGGACATTCCCATCTGCAAAGCAATGAAATGGGATATTCCCTGGAGTCACCGGTCTAGAGGCCCTGCGTAGCAATAGTGTCTCAGCTCCATCTCCCTGCTTGCTCCTCCACTTGCCCCCTCTCGTCCTGGGGAGCACATCCAGAAAGCAGAGGCTCCAGCTTGAAATGGAGGTGGTTCTTCAGAGAGAGCATCGGGTGCTGGTGTGAGGAGCTCTGCCCCGGGGAACACTGGTGATGGCAGCAGCTGGATGCATGGCCAAGGTCAGAGTGGTTCTCCATCTCTGTGGAACAGTAGCCAGATGTGGTCTGGGATGGCCAAGCTGCAGATTACTCCCTGATGCCTGGAACAGCATCTGTGATGTGGAGTCCAACGTGTGCTAGGACTTGGCATCCTGCAGACCGCCTCGTGGTATGGAGGGTGTAAAGAAACGATGTGAAGTGACTCGGTAACTATGCTGTGGAGTATGTAATGCAGGTTGAGAATATACAGCTGAAGATACCACCTTAAGGATCCTGCCAGCCCAAGGATGCAGTGTGAAGTGGCAGTATGTTATCGTATGGATTATCGCAGCATGACCATAGAGCATCGCAGCAGGATCCCAGCGCAGCCACTGCTGTCAGCAGCTCGTCTGTTCCCATCCACCTTCGCAGCCACGCAGGAACGCCTCTCTCCTTCACAGAGGGTTTGGGGCAGTTTGGACAGTCAAGAGACAACAACCACCTTCATCTGTGCTGGCTCACGAGAGCCTTGTGGGCTCATCTCGGCTGACAGCCAGGCTCCCAGCCCTTCTCAACACCCTCATTCCTGCTGGACTGAAACTGTCTGCAAGCTTTGGCCGCTGCTTGGGATTGCTGCCGGAGAACACTTAGAAACACTCGCGTCTGGCCCTGGAAGCGACAGGGTTGTGTTTTTTTTTTTTTTTCCTTTGCAATAAAATGCACCTCCTGGGTGTGTGAACACTGACCTGAGCGCCGTCCTTTGCTTGGTTGCATCTGCCTGAATTCACATCTGCCCCATCTGTTAGCACAGTGTTGGCCAGGGTGTCTCTGCAGAGATGGGGGCTCGGTCAGCCTGGCCCCCCTGCCCCACAGAACACTCACTTCTCCAGTTGCAGGTTGCTGCAGAAGCCCTGAGCCGTGCCAGGTGCCCGGGCTGTGGGGAACTGGCTTCCCCCCGTGGGGTGACAGTCCTGGCCCCAGGAGGTGCCCCCTGCCCCTTCCCCACAGGACCAGCCCAGGACCCCTGTTCCCTGCCAGGGTGGTTCAGCGCAAGCCTCTGCGCCAGCACAGCCCCCCTCCACGTGTGCACACCCCTGTGCCATGCTATTCCAGAGCAGGTGCCCCCAACCACCTCCCCGCCATCCCACAGCTGGACCCCACGCAGCTACACGTGGTCCAGAGCCCTGCCATGTGTTCCAAACCCTACCCACCCCCACCCCCGCCAAAATTGTCTTGCAGAGCAGCCCCCCATGTTTGTTCCAGCCCCGCCCCGCCCAGTTCCACGGGTGTCCCGGAGCCGCGCCCCCCACCCCCGGGCTCCCCCCCGGCTCCTCCAGCCCGCCGGGGGGCGCTGCGCGGAGCGCCGTGTCTCTCCGCTCCCGCCGCCCCGCCCCGCGCCATGTTTACATCCGCCGCCGCTTCCGTCCCGCCGCCCCCCCCCGCCCCGGCCCGCTCCGCTCCCCCGCCGCTGCCCTCCCTGCTCCGCGCCCATGCGGCGCCGCCGCCCCGCGGCCTGCCCCGGCCATGGACACCAGCGACCTGTTCACCAGCTGCAAGAAGGGGGACGTGAGCCGCGTCCGGTGAGCCGGGTCGGGGCCGAGCTGCGGGGCGGGGAGGGGAGCGGAGCCGTTCGCGGCGTCTCCCCCGCAGGAGCCGCTGCCTTGAGCCGCGGTGGCCCCCCTGGGGGGCAGCTTGGCCTCCCCGTGCCGCTTCACGGGCTTGCGGCCGCCCCGGGGCCCTGCTTACCGGCAGCCCTGCCCGGCCGCTAAACCGGCTGGGGCCCCTCTGGGGCAGCCGCGGTACCAGGCTGGGGTTGAAAAGGAGGATTTATTTCTTCATAAATAAACGCACCTTTGCTTCTCCCCCAGGGAATCGGGTGTACAGTGAGCCTTTGCTAGTGCTCTTAGCTTTGTATGAGGTTTGCCTGTTTTCTTAAAATTCAAGCATCTGAATATCAGATGGTTGTCATTGGTATGGATGTTGTCTATAGCAAATGCCCTCGCCTCCTCACAGACCTCTTCAGCCGCTCCTTCTCTACCATTGGAATCTGTATTTGCACTGGTAGGAAGCTAGATCCCGGGGAAATAATCATCATGGAGATGTTTAGGCGCTTTGTGCTGTAGGCTGTGGTAGTATCTCTGAGAAGTACCAGGCTGCTAAATGCCAGGTCAAGTCTCCTTGCTCACACTGAAGTGCCGTGGCTTAGCTGCAGTGATTTCAAATCAGGAGTCAGCTGGGCTTGTTGTCTGCCGGGTGAATATTGGATGTTGTGACACAAAGGCTCTGAGTTTACAGCAGGCTCTTCTGTGGCATCTCATGATTTGAGTCTTAAGAATGCTCTTCACCTTTTGATCCTATTTGATTCTTCTGGGTCCCAACATGTCAATCTTCCCAGATAATCAGAAAAAGCTTCTCTGTTTCAAGACGCTCACTAAAGAAGGATAAATAGGCAGATATATGAGGTCTGGGGATCATTGTTACTGGTCGTTGTAGTCACATATAGATTAATTTATTGCAAGCAGTAAATTGTAGAAGGAGGGGCCCTGTAGGTGACCTTACAGAGGTTTAAGATGACCAATGTAGAAGCGATAGTGGAGAAATGATCGGTCTGAGAATGCTGTCAAAGCAGAGGGGACAAGTTAACCGCATGGGACTGAGTAGAAAGGAGCCGAGTTGCTTGGCATTTTGAATGCGGTCAGAGGAAGCTGAAGTTTGAGATAGGAAAGATGGAGAGAGTGAATGGGGGGACTGATGTAATAGATGAGAAAAACAACTTGAGAATCTTTGTGAAGACTGGGAGGGACTTTTACTTGTCGTCAGGAGAGATGGTTGTTGCAGTATTTGGGGACAGACTATAGCAAGAACCAGGCTGTGAAGGAGATTTGTGTGTGTGGCAAAGGGTGGCTACTAGAGGTGCCAATGAGGGAGTGTTGCCAGCATTTGATATAGATTAAATGTGCAGGATAAAGAAGTGGCAGGAATTAAGAGCAGTCTGGAGTGACACCGATGTTGTTACTTGTGGCAAGAAAAGCCACAAGTAGGATGGGAGTCTACCTTTGGCATTATAAGCTTAGCCACTTAGTTGTAAACGTCCAAATTGTTAATGTTGTAGGAGAATGTGCAGATACTGCTGAAATGCTCAGGCTTCTTTTGTGATTGCTGCCCTGTTAGGTGTCAGCAGGAGGTGGGTTTGATCTCACTCTTCTCCCATGCACCACTTAAGATTGAAGGGAGCTGTCAAGCTGTGCTGCAGAGTGCTGTTCTTTGGAGTGAAGATTTGACTGATGTCCTTTCAGCCATAGCTGACAGCTCCCCAGGTTGAACACAAGATCCTGTCATGCCTTTGGAAGTTACTCTACAAACTCAAAGTTGCATCTTTTTAAAGAGGAGAATGTGATGGAGTGAGCAGCTGCATAAAGTTACAACTTTGCTCTCCCTTTTCTTCCAGATACCTTCTTGAACAGCGAGATGTGGAAATTAATGTCCGTGATAAATGGGACAGTACACCTCTGTGAGTCCTGCAGTCTAGAGCACTGGGTGGGTGGGAGGGGAGGGCTTTCAGAGCTCTCTTTCTCTTTCTGCATCAGCAGCTAGGAACGCTGTCACAAAATGCCTTAGGTTCTGCTTTTTGGGAGGCTCAGCTACATATTTTTGCTTTTTTTCTCTACGGGTGCTGTGCTAAATATGTCTTTGTCTCCCCATCTGACTGACGCTTGCTGTAGTACTACTTAGAAGGGTGGTTAATTCTGTGACCAAATTACCTGGATTAAGCAGTCTGTTCTTGGCCTGATTAGGCTTTTTCCCCTTCAAAGTCTCTGGCATTCTAATATGTCTTTTTAGGTGAAGGCTTGGCTTGGTGAAATGCAAAGTGACTATGTGATCACAGTCTGTCTGGCAAGTCTGTGAACATGCAGTAGGTAGTGGAGAATCCCCATGCTGGTGCTGAGAAGGGTGGTGTGAGCTTTCTATCTCCCCACATACCAGTTCCAAAGTGCATTTAGCCATCTGCAATATATTTAGAGTACAGAATAGCTTCCCAGAGTAAAGGTAGACATCTGCCTGCTTCAGTGCATGTTACAGGGACCTCCTAGTTTGTAGGACAATCTGAGGTCCTTGTGAAGGGGATTATGAAAGGCTTAGATTGCAAAAGAGAAAACAAAACTCATTGTAAGTAGGACTTTAAGGGGTGGATTTGCTGTACATCCGGTGTGTGTGCTATTCCCTTGTTATCATAGCGTGCAAGTCAGCCTGACAACAGAAGGAGCAAGGAGTGTTTTTGAGAATTCAGTGGAATTGCTGAGTGCCCATAAAATGAACTCCATTAAAATAAGGATGGATTTGGCAGCTGGTGGTACAACAGAAGATGCTGAATCCAGATTGGGACCTTGAGATCTCCTTGCAGGGCAGTAGTGCCTAGGAGTGCTGAGAACAGATCCTGCTTAATCTATTGTTGGGGTCAGAATTCTGTGCTATTTGGTAGCAATTCCTCACTCCTATGAGGAGTCATCTTCTAAACTTACCAGAGATAGCTCAGTGCTGAGTTCTGCATGCTGTGGTGTGCTCAAATACTGAATTCTGCTTCCTAGTGTATGTCTAATTTTCTTTCTCTTGTCATTGTCAGGTATTATGCTTGCCTGTGTGGACATGAGGAACTTGTACGCTATCTTCTGGCCAATGGTGAGCAAAAGTGGCCTGGTTATGTGTGCAGTATCTTTCTCCATACTGGTCTGCAGGGATTGTATATCTTTCTAGCTGTCCCTTGTGGAAACTTCTGTTACAACCAACCATCTGATCAGTGATCTCAGGCTGCAGTGGGAGCCCTGGACCTGCTTTCACAGTCCCTTTTGCAGGCCATTTACTGTTTGAATTTGCTACAGGAAGCTTTCTGTGATGACTGAGGCAGCATGATTTTCTGAAATCACAGCTGATGTTTTGTGAGGATGCATTGCTGTTGGGAGTATGCTGATGTAAGAATTTTACTTAATCTAAAGAACTGTCTCTGTAAAACTTTGTTGTACTCTTCTGATAACCTTGCTTTGTGAATAGGACTTAAAGGTGAAATGCAAGAGCATTTACTAACCTCACACAAAGCAAGACAAGCTCTCCAGGCAAAGTGCCTGCCCATTTGGTTCCCAGCACCCAAATTCCTTCAGGTAGTGCTGATGTTCTGTGTTCTGGCAGAGGAATCAGAATGCAGAGTCAGATCTCAAAAGGTTTGTCTCTTCCACTGCATTCAGAGCATCTTAATCATCTACTTGTGTAATTCTGAAATAGCAAAATGCAAGTGCTGTTCAAATTTCTAGAAGAGTCTAGCCTAAAGAGGCATTTCTTGCCTCGTGCAAGGCATAAGTGCTTTTTAGGAGGAGCTGTTAAAAGTCCAATAAGTGATCGTGTTCTTTGTACAGTGAGATTCTTCTTCCCAGAATGCTGCTGGAGCCATGCTGAGAGGCTTATTACCAGGGTCAGTTTAAATGAGTCATGACTTCTTCAGAAAGGGATTTTGCTGTGGGAGAATGGCTTTAGGTTATGCACTCATAAGGGGAGCTTAGTTTTTGTAAATATGCTCAGTAGCATAGAGGATCAGTGAAACATGTCACCAGCCAAAAGTCATACTCATTTAGGGGACGCTCGAGGAAGATTTAACTGCCTGCTGGCATGTACCTGTGATAATTTTGCAGGAGCGAAATGCGAAGCAAACACTTTTGATGGGGAACGTTGTTTGTATGGAGCTTTGAGTGATGCCAT